GTTTCATGAACATGACTTTGCTATGTAAATGGGCTTGTTATAGTAACTGATTGACCTCCTTACGCCTTTGTTATTCACTAGGTTTTAGCTCACACTTTACATTTATTATGTAGGTGATCAAGCTCAAGAGAGGACATAAAGGCATTAACCTACCTTTGTTTTGTGAAGCCATCTGTCGTGCCTCACTTCGAGGTTCTTTTGGTCTCACTCCTTGGCTCCCAAGTGATTGCGAGTTTACCCTTTTGATTGTGATTAATGCTACAGTTTCAAGTTGAGGTCTTTGATGGATTCTTGTTATTGGGAATCAATTTCCTAGTAGATGTAAATGTTTTGTATGTGAACATGAGTTGGACTATGTGTATATGTGTATAAATGCAATAAAGAAGTTTGTCTCATGTATGCCACATAGCTCGCTGGACACTTTTACTTGGATTCCGCCAGCCCCTGCTACTGTTTACTATTAAGTATGCCTTTGGTAATTTGGGATTACTAGCCAGTTACGTCTCTAACCTCGTGGGGTGGAGGTTGGGTCGTGACAACGAGAGAAAAGGAGACTTGAGCTCAATTAAGGAAAATTTCTAGAAAAGTGAAAGGAAACGAAGAAAACAAGCAAGATTTGCTAGAATCCAAGGGAATTAAAGCTTCTAGGTAAGAATTCAACCTATAAACTAAGAGTTTGAATCAATAAGAGAATGAATTCAAGAGAATTAAGTAGATTAGTATGAGAATTGAATATAGATAGATAATTTTGAGAGGAATCATGCATGCATGTGTGTTCTAAAACATTTTGAAGTTGATTTCAAGTAATTATCTCATGTATGTCATTATTTCACCTTGGTTTTGGAAATTCATCAAGTTTCATGCCATTTTATATCATTTGATTGTGTTTTAGAAGGTTGAAGGTCATTTCAATTCATGTATGTTATGTTTTGGAAGTTTCAAGTTGAATTTTGAACAATTGGCTTACGTTTGGGCCTTGAATTTGTGAAATGATCCTTAATTTTTTATTACAAGTTTAGACATGTTTTCTCAAGTCTTGGGGCCCAAAAGATGTGTTTTGAAGCTTTATACTTGAGTTTTACATCTTAAACATCAATCTGGAAATTATAGAATTCTCCATCATCGCTCAAGCAACAAAAACTGTGCTCGAGCGACCAATCTTTATTTTGCACTTTCGCTTGAGCAATTAAAAGTTGGCTCGAGCGTAAAATTCGAGTTCCCAGTATTTTTGCAGACATGGATCATGGCTCGAGCGACAGAACTTGCACTCGAGGGACCACCCTTATTTTGATCCTTCGCTCGGGCGTAGGAAATTGCGCTCGAGCATAAAATGAGAGTTCCTAGAAGTTTTCCAGAATTTTGCAGTCCACTCAAGCAACCAAAATTGCACTCGAGCGAAGACCCTGTTTTCAAAAAATTGACTAAATGTTATAACTTATATTTTGGCATCCTCTTTACATCTTAGGCATTCATATGCGTCAATTAAAACATAATAATGAGGATAAGGATTAGAAACACACCAAGATAAAAAAGAAATAAGCTAAGTGTTTTCCGAATGTATATTTTAATGTGTATCTGCTATGTGTTTGTGTAGGTTGTGCCTTAGCCATTTGATTTGTTTGATTCGTCTGATCTACTATTAGAGCCATCTGTGAGTAATAACTTTGTAAAATTATGTTTGACTTCAATTATTTTTTGATATTATGAAATGAACAGTTTTCTGAAATGTTATGTTTGTATGAATGAATGATTGTCCAAGTTTCTAAAATGTATTTGTGGCATCCTTAGCATTATATGATATGCATCCCTTTATGGGTCATCAAAATGCCTTTATGGCCGTCCCTTTATGAGTCATCGAAAACATCTCTGTGCACATGGGTCATCGGAATGCCTTTATAGCCGTCCCAATTATGGGTCATCGAATTTGTTAACGCTAATGGGTATACCATGTATGATCATATGGATATGTGAACTCTAAATACAAATATGAATATAAATCTGTTTCTGAATCTGCATGTTGATTTCTGAATCTGATATGGACATCATTCATGAAAACCTTTACTCTGTTATTATTCACTAGGCTTCAGCTCACTGTAGTATTTATGTATGTAGGTAATCAGGCACATGATCAGTCCTATGTTGCTGCCTAGATTCTTTTGTGTCGACCAGCCACTATGCCTCCTGAGGAGGTTTCCGTTATGAAGTGGTCATGCTCTATTAACAAGTTTTAAGTTTTTGTTTTCTTCTATTTGACTAGACAAGTTTTTGTAAGTTGTATTTATGTGGGTTTTAGGTGATGTAAGACTAATGTAAAAATGACGTCACTGATATGTATATAAAGTTTTAAATTTTCTATCCCATGTATGTCTACGCAGCTCTATAGACGTTATATGTTTGTATTTGCTTCTGCTAGCCCCTGTATTTTGTTTAATTTGTTCAGAGGCCTTTGGTAATCCCAGGATTGCTGACTGGTTACAACACTAAACCTACAGGGGCGGGTTTAGGTCGTGACATTAGCACTACAAATAGACATCTCAAATTTATACTGTTTTGCAAAGTCAGACTTAAGGTACATAATTTTCAAATAATCCCAAACTTATATAGAAGTAGAATACTTGGAAAAATTCATGCCAATGGTAGTTTGAACTAAATTATGAAACCAAGTAAGAATTTTTGCGTTTTCCTTATCCTATTTAGTAACACCAGCCTCAGTTTCTTTGGATTCCATAGGTCTAATAGTTACACCAATAACATAGTTCCATATGTCTTTACCCATTATAAAATTCTTCATTACATGAGACTAATAAGAATAATTGGTACCATCCAACTTAGTGGTAATAGCTTGCAGTTTATCATCAGCCATATTACTATAACCAAACTACGCATTGAAATCAAAGAAGGTTGAAAAGCAGCAGATGAGAGAGAGAGAGAGAGAAAGAGAGAGATATGAACGACCTATCAAATAGTTTGAGAAAGCAAGATAAGAAGCGGCATTGTTGGAGCTGCAAACCAATCCTAAGAGTAACAATCTTGGTCCTCGCCCTTTTCTTCCTCTTCGACTGAACCAGACAGAGACAGAGATGGGTCAAAACAGAGATAAGATCAATGAGATACACAACCTAGGTCTCCGACTGAACCAGAGACCAGTGACGAAGGACCAGAGACCAACGATGAAGGTTTCCTAGGGTTTCAACTGAACCTGAACCAGAACCAACAAGTGTGAATCAAACTGCTTCGATGTGCAAAGAAGAGAATCCTAACAAAGGCCTTGCAACGACCATGCGAAGAGAGAGAAAGGGCTGCGATGGCCTTACAATGAGAGAGAGACAGCTGTAACAACCTTGCAACGAGAGAGAAGCGACTGCGATGGTCGATGATGACATGCGACAAGTATTCTAATGTCTGAAACCTTGCTCTGATACCATGATAACAGAGAAAAGGAATATTGTATATCGAATTAATCAATTAAAAGCTGAGTACAAATATATAATCTAATAGAATAAAACCCTAATAACCTAAAAAACTAAACTACTCTTAATGAATAATATAAAATACAATAATTCACACCTATGTCCCAATTGAGTTACTGACGGGTAGATTAAAATAATTTGAATAGATAGGTGGGGACAGATAGGTACCTCAAGCTGTAAAAATAAATTAAAAAATAAATTTTTATAATGTTAAAATTTCAATAGGTCATAACTTTGCACTATGTAGTTCATTTAGACAATTTTTATTTTATTCTATATGTTTTTAGAGAAATTCCATGGTACACGTATGCACCTTCAGTTACGAACTCTGAATCAATATTTATGATCTACTATATTATTAGTTATGACACATTGTGATATTGATTATGACAAAATTTTGATTATGATTCAAAAATTGTTTGGTTATACCTCATGTAATATTTAGTTATAACTCGATTTTTTTTTAATTGTCAATCACATTGTATTGAATTATGCCATTTGTGGTAATCAAACTCACAAATAGCATAATTGCATATGATACATACCTAGATGGGCTATGTATCATAGTATTTCTCATTTTTTTAACTAAAGGCAGTTTCAAGTATTTACTTTCGCAAAAAAATATTGTTTCGTTTCTTTGATGATCAAAAAATTAATCTATTTACTTCTTTTTTTAATTCATTCAATATTAATCTTGTTTAAAAGATCTCAAAAAGAAAAATCTATATATATTAATTTTGTTAAAAATAAATTTATAGAACTGAAATTATGAAATTTAAAAAAAAAAATTAGCACAAACATAAATAATAAAAAAAGAGTAAAAATGTCAAAAATTGTCATTGTCACTACATGTTTAGACTTAGCAATCAGGAAATGTCATGCTTAGACCTCCACCCAAAACATTCTATGTATTGGACATTTCACTAATTTTTCCTTAAAAAATTTACAATATCAAAAAAAATTAATAAAAAATAAATAAAATACACACCATGTGTAACCCCAATTGCAACCATTGGATCTAAAAAATGTAAAAAATGAATTTGAATTGTAATTAATAGCAATTTGTGTCATAATTGAATACCATTTTGATGGTAACCAAAGCTACCATAATAAATCATAATCAACACCATAATAAATTATAATCAACACCACATAACCATACATGATAATCAGGTCTAGTTGTTCAAGTGAGAACCATACAAATCTTGACTCATATAGTAAAGACTCGACAATCTCTAATAATATCACTTAGAACAACCTTTTTTCTCCTAGTAGTTCTTGCACGTTTAGAAACACATCACATAGTGGATCACAGAACACTCACAATGGTGTGAGTCTCATAGTGTGTCTGTCTCACAGCAGGCCCCACCTCTTGTGAGTGTTGTATGATCGGTTTCTGTGTAAGTATTTTTTTCCTGCCATTTATGGGACAAGATGAATTTGATTGTGAATATTATTGAGAGCAACTCATAGTGCAATACCAAGCACCATGTATGTTCTGTAAATGTTCTTCAACCCCAAAATAAGCCATAGTGAATTTGAAACATTCAACTCAGCAATTGCAAGTACTTGTTATTTTGTGTCTAAAATCAACTTGCTAACAACATTGGTAGTGAAATATTATCAAGAACAACTCATAGCGAACATCTTTTTGTTAAGTCTAGTACGAGTAGTGTAGTTTAATGGCCAACGTATACACAGAAATTAGTACATGATTATAAACATTGTTCGCAAATAGATCCATTCATTTGCATCCATGTATATATGCACGCGTCCGCCACTACATTTTTAAAGTTTAGGAATGGCAATTCGTAGAAGTCCGTCCCTGCACAACAATACTTGTCAATATATATATCTTGCCAAAAAATATATATATATATATAATATATAGTATATAATATCCAAAGTGAATTTGCAATAGTGACAAAGTCCATCCATTTAAATGGCAAGCACATGAACATTACAACGATACCTATCATTCATTTGAAAAAGAAAAATAAATTGTTGAGATTTATCATTTGATAAGATTGTCAATATATATATCAAGGATACTTATAAACTTTACTTGACCTCGACCTACACCACTATATTTCCAAGATTTCTCATTTGGCTTGGTCATCTTCAAGTTTCCAATTCTAACCCATCAGCATCATTGCCAATTTAAACATTCAAAGAGGTCTGCTCAACAACGCGCTCACAGGACATGTTAAAATTGATGTATTATTGATTGATGTATGTTGATATCAATTACAATGATTCATGATTCCTATATATAGAAGAGGGTGAGTGTGTAGTAGGTAAGGAGTAGGTGAAGTGGAGGTG